ATAAATTAATTTCTAAAGTATAACATATAATTTATTATCATAATTTTAAGTCATTGTTGTTGATTGTTATTTTTATACTTAGTTACTCGATAGTGGAATAACTATTAATGTCAGTAGTTAAGGGGAGGATTCACGGGTAATATTCATGGGATACATCAAAGAAAGTTGCTCGATAGTTTTACCATCTTGGACAAACATGAACATAATACTAGCAGGCAAAGAATGAGAATGATCCAAATGTATTATGTTGTGAATATATAAAATGACATTTTATGCAGCAAGATGGCAGTTCCGGATGTTTAAAATTAGAGGCGATTGCGTGGTGATCCCCTGAGTGGCGGCACTGATGCAAGAGTTGCAGTGACGTTGACGATCAAGGGTACTGGTTTTGCTACAAGTGGCCGACTAGGGCTACATTCCTTATTGAAATTATCCCTATTTCAATTAGGATAATTTTGTCAAGGGAGTTCATTCTTAGTCCTATGAAATGTGGAAATTCTATTCAGCCACTTCTTCATTCTTTTAGTCCTGGAAACAACACTTTTATTATAAATAAGTATTATTTCAATTACAATTTTGAGAGAACCTCTTATTTTATTCTCAAATTAAGTCTCGTAACTCGTTTTTAGAATTGTTTTAATTGTATAATTATTTTTGTTGGACTTCATAAGTCTTGTTTTGGAAATCGAATATACTCCGCATTTATAGTCCTACTTTTTAATTTTCTTCATATTATACGTTACAAGAAAAAAACTTCTTGTTATACTTCTATTTTAGACAATTTTTAGTATTGTTTCTCTGTCATCTATTTATATGCATCACACACGCACACAATATATCCCAAGTTACTTGCTCACCAAGTTACTTGCTCACCAAGTTGACCAAGGATAAACTCAGAAATTCACAACATTTACCCTCTTAATTTCTGAGTTGAGACTTCCAGATCTTCCACACCAAGAATCTTTCGCATCTCACTAAACTTCACTTTAGCAAGTGCCTTCGTCAGTATATCCGCTCGATGTTCCTTTCCAGTAACATGCTCTGCTACAATCTCTTTTCCTTTAACACGTTCTCGAATGTAATGGAAACGAGAGTTTATATGCTTGCGTCGGCTATGAAAAACTGGGTTCTTGATTAACGAGATTGTGGATGTATTGTCAACTTTGATCTCTACTCCTGGAACTTTAGATCTTGTACTTCTCTAAGTAAATTACGTATCCAAACTGCTTGACAACTTGCTGCGGATGCAGCCATGTACTTTGCTTCACAAGAGGATAACGCTACAATGTCTTGCTTTTGAGAACACCAAGTAACCGAAGACTTTCCCAAATAAAAAACGTGTCCGGTTGTACTTCTTCCATCATCAGTATTTGTATTGTGACTGTTGTCACTATATCCGACCAAGCTCACGACTTCTCCACGAGTATATCGATTTCCATATCCCATGGTTCCTTTTACATATCGAAGTATTTGCTTTATGGCCGCCATATGAGATTTCTTCGGGGTTTGCATATACCGACTTGCAATGCCAACTGCATATGCAAGGTCTGGTCATGTTTGAATTAAGTATCTCAGTCTTCCAACTAAGCTTCGGTATTCTGTGGCTTCAGTATCTTCCTCCCGTCTCCCTTTGAAAATTTTACTTTTGCATCCATGGGAACTAAGATAGGGTTGCAGTCAAACATGCCTGCATCTTATAACACCTTCTCTGCGTAGCTTTCTTGTGTTATCAAGATTTCTTTCTCACTTTGATATACCTCAATATCAAGGTAATACCTGAGAATTCCAAGGTCGGTCATATCAAAATTTATTGTCATGGCTTGCTTAAATTTTGATATGAGATCCGTGCAGGTTCCGGTGACAACGAGATCGTCCACATAGACGCCAACAATGATAAAATCTGTCCCTATGCTTCTTTGATACACTGCCGTGTCTTTCACACATCGCTGAAACTTCATATTTCTCAGAATCCCGTCAAGCTATATATTCCATGTGCGAGGTGCTTGTCTTAAGCCATACAATGCGTTATTAATCTTGTATACTGACTCTTCACACCCTTTCTTCACAAAACCTTCTGGTTGATGAACAAACACTTCCTCCTGTAGTTCACCGTGTAAGAATGCAGATTTTACATCAAGATGGTGTAACTCCCATCCTTTTGAAGCTGCAAGAGCTATTAATATTCGAACAGTTTCAATACGAGTGACTGGTGCGAATACCTCTTTATAATCAATGGTGCGAGTGAAGATAGCATTTTGCTACAATTCTTGCCTTGTACTTGCTTACGGATCCATTTGCATCTCTTTTAACCTTGAACGCCCACTTTAGTCCGATGATGGTTGTGTTGTTTGGTCTCCTGACGAGCTGCCACGTGCCATTTTTCTCAATGGAGTTAATTTCTTCTTCCATTGCTTTAACCCATTTAGGATTTGACTTGGCTTCATGGTAATCTGATGTTCTTCCTCATTAAGGGCTAGGAGGAGCTCGTGATTTTCAATACAAAATTAACCACGAAGTCATCATACTTCTTCGGATATTGAGTGGTCCCGATTTGATCTCCGCAGCTGTAGAGCATCATGCTGAACTCCGGATAGCTGCATGTGAGGCTCCTAAATGTGCTGGCTCATTCCAGCTTCACTACTCTCTGCATTGTTTTGCTCATTAGTCTGATTGGTTTGATCAGCTTCACCAGCTATTGGTCCATCTCCGGTGTCAACGAGTTCGACCAGTGAACCCAGAACATGCAAGGTTTTAGTGCTGAAGTTTTCTCCTCATCCCAATTCCAACTTGAATTTTCATAAAAAAACTAAGTCTCTTGACACAATTATCTTATGTGACCTTGCGTCAAATAGGCGATAGGCCTTAGATCCAGATTTTGACCGAAAGTACACGACTTTCTTGGACCGATCATCGAGTTTCTTTAACTATGGATTAACTATCTTCGCGTAGGCTACTGTCCCAAATATACGTAGGTGTTCAATATTTGGTTTCCGAAGATAGTAGCACTCATACGGTGTCATCTCCTTCAGTGCTCTAGTTTGGATCCGATTTATGATGTAGGTTGAGTGTCGCACAGCTTCACCCCAAAAACAATTCGGAACTTGCTTTGTCTTTAGGATGCTTCGTGTCATCTCGAGAAGTGTACGATTTCTTCGTTCCACCATGCCATTCTACTGCGGTGAGTAGGGTGCAGTGAGATGTCTCATCATCCCATGCTCATCACATAGTTTATCAAAATCTAGTGATGTGAATTCACCCCCTCTGTCAGTACGAAATGTTTTCACAACACTATCAGTTTCTTTTTCAACTTTTGATTTGAACTCCTTGAAATAGTATATAGCTTCTCTCTTTTCTTTCATTAGATAACTCCACATGAAACATGAGTGATCATCGATCAAAACAAATACATACCTATTTCCAGCAATCGTTGACGGTGATATCGGCCCACAAAAAGGTCTCCATGGACAAGTTCCAGAACCGTGTAGCAAGGTAGGATGACTTTTGAGGAAAGGCTCCTCGAGTGTGTTTTCCGACTAAACATGACTCGCATAGCTGAATATTCCCCATGATGGATGATAAGCCTTTGACAAGGCTCTTTCTTGACATAATCAGAATTGTATCAAAGTTAGCATGCCCGCGTCTTGCATGCCATATCCACCCTTGATCGTTTAGCCGACTATAAATACATACGGGTGTTCCAACCGAGATGATGGTTTTGTAGAGTCTATTCACCGATCTCTTAACCTTGAAAAGAAGAGATCCTCGACTATCGTAAAGGATCAAGTAATCACCTTTCATAGAGACTTCACACCCACTTTCAGTTGCTTGTCCCAAACTAATTATATTAGCTTTAAGACTTCGGATGTAGTAGACATCAGTGAGTAATTTTTGTTCTCATGTTATACTTTCAAACAGAATGGATCCTTTGTCTTGAATTTTAACACACGAGTCATCACCGAATTTTACTCTTCCTTCAATTCTATTATTAATCTCTGAAAAGAATGAAAGATTGTCCGACATATGGTTGCTTGCACCATTATCTAAGTACCACAAGTCATTCTTATTATCTCGAGTTTCATACTTGCTTGGTATCACATTTCTTTCGTTTAAAAGTATAGTCTCACAGAGAGTCCTAACCATGAACAGTTGCGGATCATGGTCCTCTACTTCGGATACATGAGCTTCGTACTGTTTTGCCTGCCGGTCCGGACATTTTGAAGCAAAATGACCGAATTTGTCACATCTGTAGCACTGCACTTTGGATCGACCCTTTTCTTTTCCTTTTGATTTATCTGGCTTGCTGCTGGTGGCGACTGCAGATTGATTTTGTTCCTGATTCGAATTGTATGATCCTCAACCATGTCCAAATCCACAGCCACGCCCGGATCCACGACCACGTCCACCCCTGCTTGAGTTGAAATTGTGGGGTTGACGTTTCTGCCTTTTGGAACAATAGGTTTCCCTGATCGTTGTCTGGTACTTCTTCATGGATGCATTCCTCATAGGCTTTTAAACGTCCAACTACATCTTCAAATTTGACAGTTTTGATATCAAGGATTTGTTCGATCGCTGCTACAATATGAATGAATCTACATTCATGAATGACAGTTTTAAACGTCCAACTATCCAATGTTTACTTTATTATTCTACATTCCATGTATGCAGCGCAAGTAATTTAAAAGCAAGCATGAACGCATGCATGATATGAGCCCGTTTGGTGACCCTTCTTTTCGTATTTACCCAACTTTTTCATCAAACACGTTACTTTTTATTTCGCGTGCTTAATTGCATAATAATAAGAAAAAGTAAGGTTGCAGTTACTTTTCTGTCTATATTGGCTGAAGTTACTGTTGATGATCGTTTTAATTATATTTCATATAATTTTTTCATTATTTTATTAATAAAAAATATTTTAAATATAATTTTTCATAAATCGGCCAATTCAGCCATTATTATTTCATATGTTGCAAACGGGCTTTATAGAGTAGAAAAGTAATTGCCTGTATTTCGATTTTTGAATCGCCGTTGCTTTTCCCATTTTCTTTGTCGCCGTCACCTTTCTTCGCCTCCTCACTGTCCTTTTTCGCCGCCGCATCATCTGGTTTTTTAGCAGCTGGTTTGGCACCGAGAGAGTCAATATGTGGTTTGGGGTAGCCGCCTCTCCTGCCTTTCATCAGCTCAAACACCCTGCCCGTCACTGCTCCCGCGCTCCCTGTAACTGTTAGCACATTATTAATGTCGTCCATCGAGATTGACTCCACCTCCGCAGAGTCAGCGGCAGCAATCATGGCTTCTCTTCTTTTCTCCTTCTTTTTCTCCCCATCACTTTCTTCGTAGTCTAATTGCATCACCACTATCTGCATCCATACATATATATATATGTAATTAATTAAAATAATTGTTCGTAAGAGTTCATGTCCAATCTTCCTTAAGTAGACGAAACACTAACTTTTACTTCTAATATCACTAATCTGCTTAATTAGGATGTTTTTATTTAGAAGTGTAATTTGCTAATCTAGTCGGGTGGTTTCTTGGTATTTTTATAACTATCTATGTTTGGTCTGATCTAGTGTAATTTGGGACAGATTACCGTCCAAGTAAAAACACTCTTAATATACTTAATTGCCTCCTAGTTCCTTTGGATAACCACGTCATCATTGTTGGCGAAGACAGAGCTCTAGTTGAGGCGGAAGCACTATGACAGTGGCAAAAGCTAATACCCCTAAAAAAGTTTTAGGATGTTTTTACTTCAACTGAAATTTGTTGGTAATGTCTTTATGTATTTTAAAACTATCCAAATCTGGTCTGGTCTGGTCCGAACTTGTCTGATCTGGTCTTGGGACTGAAAACGTAAAAACATACATAAAACAAGCTACTTCTATTTTTGCACTATCTCCAATTAATCAATAACAAGTCCTACATATGTATGCATTAATGGTACAAACATTTATACGAAGTATTTCCATGTTCCGTACTGTTTTGAAGTTTTTTTTCCCAACACCGTTTCTTATTAATCTGCAATTCAGTATCAAACTTTTGTTGTTTTAATTTGGTGTATTCCAAAAAACTGTTTTTTCATTTTAAACTGTTTTCTCATCGTTAGTGGAAGGGAGGGAGTGCATCACTATTTATGCACACTCACACACCGAAAAAGAGAGATAAATACTGTATTTTGTTCTTTGTAGGACTATCTTTTGGGCTAGACATTTATTGGCATTATCCGTCAAATTCGTTTGCTTTAGTTTGTAAAAATTTACTTTAACAAAAAATCCATAAGTGAGTAACTGAGCAGCCAAAAAACAATTGAGGTCGCAAAATATTTAGGGAGAATTTGACTTTGCACCTCACCTTTTGAGTAATATTGTACTTTGAACCTCGTTTTTAAAAAAAACTTTGACTTTGCACCCCATCGTATAACATTTTGTGAAGAAAATTTTCTAAATGAGTGCAAAGTCAAAGGATTTCCAAGTGAAATGGGATGCAAAGTCATTTTTTTTAAAATGGGTGCAAAGTCTAATATCAGCCAAAAAGTGAGATACAAATTCAAATCCCCCCATATGGAGCTTGTACAACATATGTGGTTAACTAGTCATCACTCAGTTTATAGATACTAAAAGGGCCCAATGAGGTCTTTTTTGTTTATATGTTTGTTCTTTAGTTTTACCCATTCTCAGGACTGCTCAAAAACTAGGCAAGCTTGGAATGAGGGGAAGCGATATGTATGCGTCCTTACTCCTTAGTGCAAAGCCTATTAAACGCTTTATCTCACTCTTTTGTGCAAATAGAAAAAGAAGTGATTGCCGCCCTATATTTGGTGTACACCACGGTTACAACATATGAGTGTTTCCGATTGCTTGTGCTTTTTTAAAGTGATTTTTTTAATAGATTATTGGAAAAGTGATTTGTAGTAAAAGTTGGTAGTGTTTGGGAATAGAAGTGATTTTAATTAAAATGTAAAAGTTGGAGTGTTTGAAAAAAAAAGCGATTTTTGTTGTGATATTTTATCAAATTACACAAACACCCTTTCAAATCATCCCTGTTATCCGCCGATTCCCTGTATCAATCGGAAATTTGAAGCTGCTACCATCAACTACAACAATGGGTCAACAATCCCTGAAATTTGAATTCCAGGAAGCCAAAACCCCAACCATCGAATCCCTAAACAAAAACTATGGGTCAACAATTCCCCAAAATCTATTTCACACACCTTGCCACTCATACGTAAGGTCGTTGTTCTGGCAATTCTGAGTTTGTCATTACTCGTTTTATTTCTCTAATTTCTCACCATTTTGTCATGAAAGAACTGGGTAAATTGCATTATTTTTTGGGCATTGAGGCTACTCGTAACTCTCACGGTTCATTCTTGTCTCAACATAAATATGTTTCTGATTTACTTGCCCGATTTCACTTGCATACTGTTAAATATGTTCACACCCCTCCGGCTTCTCGCACTACTTTATCCCTCAGTGACGGGGAGTTACTTACAGACTCCACTGAGTATCGCAACATGGTAGGTGCGTACAGTGTTTAACATTGACATGGTCTGTTTATCTCACAGTTTTAGGTACTTACAAGGTACATTAGATCATGGATTGAGGCTTTAGTCCTCTGATCAGCCTACTTGCGTCTTAGCGTATTTTGAAGCAGACTGGGCTGGTTGTCTGGATAACTCTCGTTCTACTATAGGTTTTGCTGTATTTTTAGGTCCTGATCTGGTGTCCTGGAGATCTAAAAAGCAGCATATTGTGTCTAAATCATCGACGGAGGCCGAGTATCGGGCCATTGCATACACGTTCCAAGACACTTTTCACATTCACTCTATATTGTTTGAGTTGGATTTTTCCATCACTGTTCCGGTATATTTATTATGTGATACTCCATCCGTCCCTAATAACTTTGCCAAGTTTGACCGACACGAGGATTAATAAAGTAAAAACTGTGTGGTTGAGGTTTGTGCAGAGGAGAGATAATTAACTGGAACCACAAATTCTTTACTTAAATGGGAGAGTGACAAAGTTAATGGGACATCCAAAAAAGGAAAGTTGGCAAAGTTATAAGGGACGGAGGGAGTAATATTTATGCCTCCTGCTTGACGGCTAAACCGGTTCAGCGTGCTCGGATCAAGCACATTAAAATTGACTACCACTTTGTTAAAGAACGAGTAGCGCATGGTAATCTGGTGGTTCAATATGTTTCTAATTAACATTTTCATTTTTAAAGGACAACCTGCGCGTTGTTTCTCTCGTACAGCTTGAGGGGAGGTGTAATAGACTAGGGTTGATTATGAATTTTTACATCAAACTCTTTATTATAAATAGATCAACCAGTGCTCCTTTGTGAGCAGCCTGTTCCATTATTTCACAGTCTGCGCACAAACAAAAATATATGTGCACAGACATATTTTGTGTGTATACTGACAAATAGTGTCTGTATACAGACATTGGTTTCTGTCAACTCACATTACTTGGTTTTTTTTTAATGATGGTTTGTGAATATGTTCTCTATGAAGTGTAGATAGTGTCCACCAAATTTCAGTTTAAAATTAAGTTTAAGATAACGAAATTTGATGAAAATTGTGTATCTTTATATGTGTGGTGTGCGCGCGCGTAAAATGCAGTTTTTTCAATAATTTATTTAAGTGACTTCCCAATTGAATTCTAAGTTTAAATCTGGTGAACATAATCTACAATTCATGGAGAAACATGTACACAAAATTCATCAAAAAATTTGACCCGGAAACACCTAAAATGAAAGAGGTCTAAAATTGTTAATTTTAGGTGTACCTTATTAAATGATCATTGTCTTACACACACAATGTTTATCGTATTGAAGATTGTAATGTAAAATAGGCCTGGACTCGAGCCGGGTGGCCCGACCCGGAATCGGGCCGAACCGGCACTGTTCTGGCCCAGCCCGGTGGCCCGGTTAGTGACCAGTCCGGGTAGGCCCGACCCGCGGGGGATCTGGTCCGGGCTCGGGTCCTTCAAATGGCGAACCGGCCCGGCCGGTCCAGGCCGTCAACGGCTACATTTTGAAAAAAAAATATATAATTAAAAGGTCTTCTAGCCGTTGGGAATAATCCCAAATGGCTCTATAGCGGTTGGAGGGCTAGAAGGGGGGGGGGGGGGGGTCCGGGGGGTTCTGGGGGTGGGGGGTGGGGATATAAAAAAACCTATTTATACTCCTATTTTCTATACATTTTTTTACATCATCTTCAATTCATCATACAATCCTACTCCTACTCTCTAATTTTCTATTCTCTCATACTCAATCATCTCCATCTTCATCTTCTCCAAATCTCTCTACATATATATATTGTTTATATAATTATTATATCAACTTATATATTTAATTATCTACTTATATATATATATTATATTACTAATATTTATTATCTACTTAATATATTAATTATCTACTTATACATCTCCATCTTATTAATATTTACTTTGATATCTACTTATTATCTATATTTATTTTTATTTACTTATATATATTAAAGTATTAGATATAAGTGTATTACTCATCTTATAGTAATATACTTATATATTATATACTATAAACATTATATTAGTTATACAATTATATTAGTTACACTTGAATTCATAGTAATTAAATTCATCGTATTAGTGAATTTTTACATTTCTCATTATCCTAATTTAGTTAATGAGAAAAAGGTCAAATAAGGCCTTCTACTATTATGAAATCGTCACATAAGACCATGTACTCAATAAAGTGTCATATAAATGCGCCTACTTGTAAAAAACAATCAATTAAGTCCTAACGACCTATTTACAACCTTCTAATCCCGATTTTAGTGTTCTTGAAACCATCGTTTTTAATAGATTATACGACACACGTCCAATATTTACCTAAGATTGGTTGAAATACAAGTAAAAAATTTGACACGTAAGCTAAAATCAGGATTAAGAGGTTGTCAACGGGTCATTAGGACTCATCCGATTGTTTTTTTATAAGTAGACGTATTTATATGACACTTTATTGAAAACATGGTCTTATGTGACGATTTCATAATAGTAGAAGGCCTTGTTTGACCCTTTTCTCTTTAGTTAATTAATACTTGTCTCGTTTTTTCTATTACTTACATTTTTTTAATTGTTACATTTTTCATTAAAGTATAAAACTAGTTAATTGTTACATTTTTCATTTTCCTATTAGTTAATTTGTTAATTGTTGCATTTATCATAAAAATATAAAACTAGTTAATTGTTACATTTTTCATTTCCCTATTAGTTAATTTGTTAATTGTTGCATTTTTCATTAAAGTACAAAACTACTTAATTGTTACATTTTTCATTTCCCTATTAGTTAATTTGTTAATTGTTGCATTTATCAT